ACTTGCCTTTTACTAATCCTCACTTTTTTTCCGACCACTTCATCTAAACGTCAACGAGTTGAACAAAAGTTACACCGTCTCTGGCTTGCGATAACTTTATAATTTATTTCATATCTACAAATAAATCCACTTTCTTCGGGCAATATTAAAGAAACATCGAAGAAATAAGGAATTTTTAAAATCTATTCAATAAATTTAGAAAATATTCATAAAACTTGAAAATGAAAGCGAAATTTCAAAAATACAAGACGACGTCGAAGTACACGTTGTAGAATTGGTTCTCTTGTAATCCCAAAGATTCTTCAAAAGTCCGAGCATCGGGATCAAAGCGACTGAAGAATCTGTGATTGGCGGGACGGATATTTAACGATATTTCGTAAAATTTACGAATCTCCTCAACGTAGAAGAAAACGGACAATCTCAGGGACGAATTCTTTTCCACAAAAATGGGAAAGTCCAAATCTACGGTTCCATCGGGTTTACAAAACTCCTTTTGTGATTGTAATCGGTTGGAGGCAAAATTGACGTATCCTTCTACATTGAACGGAATACTTGTTCTATGAGAATGGTGTAAAGGTAGTTTCAGAGTCTGTACGAAGCAGTGTTCCATCACTCTTATCTTTGTGCTAAATATGCTGTTAAGATCGCTATCGTTGGGTGTATACGGCGCCTGTTTTTCGTAAATAAACCATTCCGTGAAACTACTTTCGTTCCTCTTTCTTCTGTCCGAGCAAAGATGATCCAAAAATTTATCTTCTCTGAATAATGTCCAACAGGACAATATGCTTTGTTTTTCTACTTCGCTTAAACAGTTCAAAGGGAATACCACATTTCTCAGCTCTTNTAACAACAAATATGAAAGACTAAGTGCAACGTTGTAACAAATTTCATTTCCGTCCAAGTTAAGAATGATATGACTCATCGAAAACTGCGCGAACGAACATAAACAGTGGCGTAATCGTCCGTTATCGACCGACTTCAGACCAATTTTGAATTTGTAAACTGTCATTGCAATGGACAGTTGACATTGTGCTCTGGAGAAAACAATTTGTATCACTCTTGCTACGGATATAATTTGTAATCTGGAATTTTTTGCATATCTTTTTAATACGTATTTAATTGCGGCTCGCGAAAAATTTCAAATTTTGAAAAATGGCTCGGACTATCAAGGAGCTTGGCCACCCCGGATATATAGTGTCTACCTACGCACTTAGTTGTGACAGAAAAAACAATTGTTTATCATGTTAATATATAAGAAACAAATAAAAAAATAGTTATATTTGCTATATAAAACAGTGATAATTGTGATATTTTTTCTATATAATATGTACCGTAATTACCTGATGCGGCTATTGGGTATTTCTAACAAGCAGTGTTTGTCTCCTACCACAAAATTTACCACTGCTGTAATAATGCGTAGTATATGTATTCGTAAGAGCAAAAAATCATTAACAAATTGCTGTAATTTTTATACATATTTTAACCGTCATAACGGTTATTGGAAAACGCTATAGTAATCGCAATAACGCATTGTAATGAATTATTTGAGAGAAGTGCGTGGAATAACAAGAAGTGACTATGTGAGAATGAAGAAGTATTAGAAAAATGTTGGGTGAAGCCAACTACGGTTTCTCATTTCCCGGTCTTTTGCTTGTCCCGGTATTCTGGGATAAAAGTCGACAGTTTTCCGGGATCACGGGAAATCCCAGGACAGAATTAATTATTTTTAAGATATACAAAATATCGTGAAAGAAATCAAATAATATACAGTAATTATTTTTCTTTTTTTAAAGTAATTTTATACGTTCTGTAACCTCCAAAATCATATTAATATTTTAATTTATATGTTAGTTATTAATGCTGTTTTATTACAGTCATGTAAATTGGCAGATGTTTTACGGTTGTCGTGTAATATAAATTTTTATATTTACAAACTTTATACACAATATTTTGTGCAATGTCTACTAACCAAAAATTGCATAAACATTTATGATTGGGCTAGGTTAGTGTCAATCCTTGGCCCATTTCTTCTTTCCGCTATCTGCCACATTCGTGTTTAAATAAATCAAGACATAAAGGTGAGACAATTATTGCGATGTGTATCGAATGCTATTCTTCATTGTCAATGAAAAGGAAAATCAAATTTCATACACAATATACTACAAAACACAACCAACAGAACACATAAATCAGTTTTACATGGTCATTTATACATATAAATAAGGATGTTTGTTTGTTTTTTCGCTAGCACGCATAGGCCGTTCGACCAATCGCTACATAACTCGGCAGTTATGTTTATATACTTCTAACTTAGATAATGCCATATATCCCACCTAAAATTATCAATTAAATTTCTATATATGGGTTAATTTCTGTCTACATACCATTGCTGGCTTTGCACGCGTTAATTTAAAAAATAATTAACTAAATATAATCCTTACAAAAAAGGATGGAATTTTAAATTTAGCAACTTCGATCACGAGAGAGTCCATCACAACCTGTCTAACACGGATCATTTTTCAAATTTTAGTATAGACCAGTATTAATTGTGGTTGACCTTCCTCTATTCCAGGAGTCAATAACTACTTTGATCGAATTACTTCGACCCCCTTTCACAACACTTCCTTCCTCTTACCTGACTCACCGTTGTCGTGCCATTCGAGTAGCGCGATAAACTTGACGACGGTTGGCTAAATCAACCAAATGACCAATCTAATACATTTTAAAAATTCTTTATTCCTCTACTGTATACAACTTACTTTTTAAAAAAATGTGTCAGATTGGGCGCTCGGTGTGATAACCTCTCTCGTATGGTAACCTTTGTAATACTATAGTATACTGTAATATTATATTATAGAAGGGTTAGAAATAAAAAATCTAAATATATAAAATTGCTTGTCCTGACTGACTGACTGAATCACTCACTCACTGATTCATTATCGCCAGAGCAAACCACTTAACCTAAAGAGGTGAAATTTGGTAGACAGTTAGGGTACGTCATGGAAACGCACACTAATAAGGAAGTTTTTGAATTTCCTCCGTGGGGGGAGATTGAGAGGATTTAGTCTTCATCGAGTACTTAGGTGTATTAAATTAATAACATTTCACACATTGTTATAAATATTTTTATTTATTTCGATTTTAAAAATGTTCGAACCGTTTTAAATTCGAATTTGTTATTGCATATTGGTTCGATTATAAAACGATTGTAAACGTTTTAGAAAATTGATCAAATTGAAAGTATTTCTTTTTATTCTCGGCAATTCTCATCATTCTCGGCGGTAGGTGTTATATAACAATTACTATGGTTGTTGAAATACTGAATATAAATGGGGTTTGCTTGCAAAATCCGCGCGGGCAAGCCGCGGGTAACAGCTAGTAATCTAATAATTTTACTGTTTTTTTATCTTTGCCAGTGCATCGCCGAGGTTATCTGCTAGTGTAATATAAATAAAAAAAGAAAAGTTATAAATGTATACAACAATTCTGGAGCCGTATCCTGATTATCGTCTCTCGCCTTCAAGAAATAATCTTTAGGTCACAAGACGGTTGCCGATTTGCCGCCCCCACGAGAGAAGTGACAATTGGTTAGACACGAATTTCAAAGCTTTTATTTGCATAAATGATTAGGACTACTGCATAAGCAGTTTTACATCGCATAGGACATTGAAGCATAATCTCCGAATGCAAGACGTCTTTTGAATTTAACAATTCTCATCAATGAGCACATTTTGAAATTGTATTAATCGTGTTTTAAATAATGAGTTTACTTCTGAAATAAATTTCCATACTTCATTTAGTCTACTTTTATCCATTACTTTCAAAAGTAGATCTCTTGCCATTGGTCAATTTATGACCAATTTATGACCGAAACAATAAGAATATTAAAATCAATCGTCGTCAATATTCCGCGTGAAAGGAGGTATTAATACAATGAGACACTCTTCGTCCTTCTCCAGATATTTTTTTGCCGTTTGGTTCGTTTCCTGACGACCCCCCTTCAACCTTTAGATCATCGATCAATTAATTATTATTATTATTTTTCCTCTCTCTCGAAAGATTACTTCTTAAACGCGTAATTACTAACAGAAATAATATTTTTTAATATTAAGAGTTTAGTTACTTGTAAAGTAACGATATAAGTAATACACAAAGGTGACGTTCACTAAATTTTTTCGTTGCTATAGCTACAGACTAGTTATATACAAATATAAAACAGATTAATACGAACATAAAGAGTAAAAATGTACAAATTTGCATAACGACCAACAACGACACTACATATTACACTAGATTCTGCCTCGCATACAACAACTGTTTAAAGAATGTGATAAACTATTTCACATATACATAAAAGATAAGAATTTCCTTTATGTAAAAATAGCAAATTTCTAACATATTGCTGTCCTTGATAATAATATAAATTACAAATACCTGTATTGAATTAATTAGTCGCTTTGGTACATATTATTAAATTATTATCGAATTGGAAAATCTCTGACTGTTAAACCATTTCTTCAATTATTAGGTTTCTGTACTTCTTTATAATATTTATTTCTTTATTTTTACTAAAATATATTTGTTTACTTCCCCAGCGTGTATATACATCAGTGAAAAAGTATGGAAATAAATCAGAAAATAACTTCGTCAAGGTTTTTCTATATGTAAGTATATTAGTTTGTGTTGGGCGGAAGCGTTTTTGTTCATCTAATTTGAATTTTATAAGTCTTGGTTTTTTTTTGGTCGAAAATTTCTGAAATTTTGCAGAGAAGTTTGTTCATTAGGAGAATCGATGCCGTTCAATTTTGGTGGCTAAAGATCTACGAGGTGGGGGAAGAATGAAACTCGAGTGGGGTCGGACTTCGTATGAATTTCACTCGCTATTAGTATTTGCAATTTATTCTTTTATAAAACTCGTCTCTACCTTGAAAACGAAGATTTTGCAATTTAAGTCTTCCAATAGAAGATGAAAAATGAGGCAATGCTGAAATATTTTACTGCAGATAAATTGCGAAAGTTAATTTTCAATTTACGCACCAGGTATTAGGCTAACAGTTTAACTCTCGCCATTTAAAGTAAAATTCCCGAAATCTGCTTACTTAATTCTAAGATTTTATTGTCTGTACAAATAATCTACAAGAGAGAAAGAGATAGTGTATACCCATTATCCAACATGTTATACAACACACAATATGGCTACAATATCAGACATGAAAAAACAACACAGTTTACTCTGTCACATCTCATGTACATGGACGACATAAAACTTATGCATCCACACAGAAACAACTTTAGCAGCTCCTATAAGGCGTGTTTCAAATTTATACGGACACGAAAAAATTAAAGCGAAACTTAAATTTGCTGCATTAAGTGACAAATCTTTTATTAAAAATAACGTGGATTTACTTGTTTCCACACTGCAAAATAAGAATTTTAGTCAAACATTAATATTTTGTCACTGAAAATAATATTTTTGAAAATTTTGTACAAAAAAACTGTTACATATTTATCCGGACAGGCACTCATTTCATGACTTAAATAGANAAATTTTTGGATCATCTTTGCTCGGACTTTGTTATGCTTTGTTTTTCTACTTCGCTTAAACAGTTCAAAGGGAATACCACATTTCTCAGCTCTTTCTCACTCATGGCCAGAAACCGAATTTTGGGAATGAACGGCTCCATGTTTATTCTACATCTTTCCATTTGGGTAGCGTCGTTCGGAGGCAATTCTCCACTTACTTCCGCTCGTCGTTGCAGACGAACTTTCACCCAGTTGTAAACTGCGAGGAACAAAGACACTTCCGTTAATGATTCGTAAACGGGACGAGAGAGTAATCGGTCGATCGTCGTCCTTTTGCATTGTAAAAAGTCGTCCGCGAGAAATATCTCTTTCCATTCTTCATCGAAAAATTCCCAGCAGTGATACTGCAGCCATCTGTCCATTTGTTCGCAAGCGAAATCGTGTATTCGGCAAACATTTGACAAGTTCAAGTCGTAAATTATGAAAGATTGACATTCTACAAAAAGTTTTTCGATCCGGTATCGTTTGCTGATGCCGTAGATGTCCATTGCGTTTCGTAGGGATTCCAAACGAAAACTGTCCACGAATGAATCTAAGAATTGTAAAATTAAAAAATTATTTAATACAAATTAACCGTTATGTTTTAATTTTATGTTTAATTTCGTGTTTACAAAAATGTCTTTTATTCGTAACTTAACATAACTTAAAACACGTGAGTAGACAAAGATGTTACGTCATAATTCAGAACAATCGAGTTTTCAAAGTTCCGTAACATCCGCATCCATTCATTGCTTCGTATTTACTCCGTTTCCTTACATTGTATATTAAAAATTAATTATTAGAGTTTTGATATCGATTCGACAAGCATATTAACGTACTTTTGCACAATAGCCGCCTTCTGGTTTTAGAGGCAATAAAGTAAATACTGAAGAGTTTTACTCTACGAAAGTTCGTTGGCAGATTCGGACCTACTTCTAACTTCTACGGTAAAAATTTTGTAGTGTTATGCCGTATACATCTTTCGAACTTGTAGATGATTTAATCCACGATCTCGTAAAAATATTCAATGGTAATACTTCTTGCAGTAAAACTAGGTTTTTGCCAGCCATATTTGATATTAGACTGGCTATAGCCTTTTTTAAAGTGTTTATGGTTTAGAGTTCATGCATACGTATCCGGTTTTAGCTAAAGTTAAAAGCTTGACCTCCCCTCGATGGTCGTATGCAGTATCTAGTCCTCAGGAAAACCACGTACAAATTTCAAGAACCCATTTTTCTAAAAGTTACATTAAGCTATAGAAATAAAAATATGCGAATGTGAAAAATAAAATTAAGTAACACGCGTATCGAAATGTCATTATACCAAATTTGGTTTTACATGGACTGCTGTATATCTTTTTATGCAACTTCGTAAGGGAATTCAATCTCCCGGTATATAAATGACAGAAAATTTACTTTTTTTCAGAAGTAACATCAAAGAATTGAAAAAAGTTCTAGTTTACTCGTTATAATAAATATCAATTAGTATAAAGCATAATTTAAAATTGATTTTTGTATTGACTGAACTTACGATATAACTTGAGAGATTTGTCGAGGAGGATAAGGCATTGGAAAAATTCCCGACACTCGATAATCTTCCAGCATGGAATTGAGCACGGGGCTTTCGACGTTCCTGATGCAAGACTCTGCAACGTTTACTTTTTCTTCTCCCATACAAGTAATTTCTATTTCCAATGCGCTGGATTCCATATTTTTCGGGGTTCAGCTTCGAGAAGCGCCAACAATCCAATAATGCAAGTGATTGTAATATTAGTAAAAAGTAATTGTTGGCACTTCATTATTTTAAATCCATTGTTTCACGCCATAGAAAGACATAACGATTTACTTTCTACATATATGTAGACACGGATATACATGAATTTTTAGAAAATTTTAAATTCGCGTAAACAGAAATTCAATCTTTCGTAGTGTTACATACGAAAACCAGTAAGATATACTGTTTATCTCCAAACAATTCTTTATAAGTCTGCTGTAGTTTTTAAATCACACAGCAAACTCTCAAAATGAAAAGTAAGAGAAAAAGTAATCTTTAGCTATGTCATAAAATAGAATGACCATAGATGAAAAGTCCTGTCAGAATAAAAAGATGACGTATATACACGAGATGTTGAAAAGTCTTAAACTTTTTGTGTATTTTTCTATAGATTAGTCTACATTATTATGTCTTACAAAATCTACAATGTTGATGTACCTTTTTCTGTACCTTATTATTTACTGTTGTTTAATTCTTTCTTAATTATTACTGGTATAATTGTTAAAAAACATCACAAACCCTAAAAACCGATGAGTAAATTGTCTTTTCGACTTGTTAAATGACGTTCCTAGGTAATATTTGTTTTGACGTTACACTAAAAAAGCAAGCTTAAGAATTAGACATTTTAGATTTTTCCACGGAGAAAAGACTCCGATTTATTTAACAAACAAACATATAAAAATCTAGTAACGAGTCGCTTAACATTATCGGAAACATTTGACGGCGCCATCTGTTATGATATTTTATTAAATAAACTGTTTATATTTTTTACTATTATTAAATGGCAAATTGTTTAATTTTCAGGGTAGAGGAGGTTTTGTATTAAAAAATAATTATAAACGCTAATAATGAGTTAAGTCGCCATTAAGTGTGACTGCACTGATTACGGTACAATGCATCATAAATGAGATTCGGGATGTTTTATCTCTGACATATAAAGATATGTTGTCATCGTTCTCATAGAATTTTTTCCGAGCAAGTAACGACCTTAATAAACACGTTTTCATAAATTTCGGTTTACAAAAGCCTCTTTCATCAAAAGCTGCACTAACAGGTAGTGTTAGAAGTATTCTCAATGCAACTTCTAAATTTGAACTAAACTATATTAATGAATCGCTTTTAAAAGATCTAAACTTGAAGTTTCTTTAATGTCTGAAATTATCGTTATTGCTTGATTTTTCAAACTAATTATTTCTGATAATAATTCTACGGAATTTATATTGTTTGGATATTTAAGGAAGAAAACTTACTATGGCGATATCATATGTAAAAACGAATGTAGTACCGAGCCAGAGCGTTTGACACAAATCGTTAGTGTGCTTAAAAGCATTTCATAAACACTGCAAGAGACATTTAAGTTTCTTTTTTATTTTGCAATTTATTAATTTTCATTTTTCATTAATTTGGAGCAGTTTCTCATTGTTCAAGTGAGGCAAGTGCCTGGTTTGCCTTATCCTTGTCACGGCTCTACTTTTCATCTGATCCGAAGAGTAAAATAGCACGTTTATTGTACTGTCAACATTGTACTGTCAATAAAATAAAATGTAGTGACATAGGCAAAGTTTAAACAGTACGATTTGTGATATACCTGCACAATATACGTACTTTGTAAATTAGTTAGTTAAATTAGTAATAATTAGTTAAAAGTGAAGATAAATTTAATTTATGGATAGACAACTGCTTAAAAATAAATTTTCCCATAAAAAATAATACTGTAAGATTATGAGACGGGTCTATGAATAAAAGATAGAGGGACTTAAAATTTGATATTCTCTTATTGAGAGAAGTGCTATTGTTAGTAATCATCGAACATTTTGTAAAACACATAAGTATAGGCCTATAGCTCAGCGATTCCCAAAATGTGCCACGAAATATAAAATTTTCATAATTTTACTTTTACTTTCAATTCAATGTTTTAAGATGTGACATATAGCAGACCTAGTGAAAATTATGAAATCATTAATAAAGGTGAATTAATATCTACTACCTTCATTCTAGAAGGTAGCACATAGAATCGCAAAATGTAATAAGCCTCATACCATCGCACAAAAACTCATCATACCGGCTGCTGTAGATATAGTAAACATTTTGATCGGCGAGTGTACTGGAAAACAACTTTCAAAAGTCCCTTTGTCCAATAACGCCATCAGTCGCATAATACAGGGCATAGCGAATGACTCCAATGTTCATTTAATTGAAAGAATAAAAGAGAAGGAATTTGGGTCGCAGCTGGATGTGGACACATTTAATAATAATGATGTTCACTCGATTTGCTGTGTACAGTTTATAGATAATAATAATATTGTAGAAGACTTTCTCTTTTGTAAAAGCACCACAGCTGTTGCTAAGGCTCACGACTTGTTCGCGATCCTTGGCATTTTTATATCCGAAAATAATTTGGAGTGAAGCAAATGCATTGGTGTCTGTACTGATGGTGTTCGTTCTATGTCCGGATGTTATGGAGGACTGCGAGCACTTTTTCGAAGCAAAGACCCCGATGCACTGTGGACCCATTGCGTTATTAACAACGAAGCACTCGCGTCAAAATATATTAGTTCTACATTAAATCATGCATTAGGATAGGTAGTAAATACAGTAAACTTTATAAAAATTAAGCCGTTGAAAGCAAGATTTTTCAAAAAACCTATGTGAGGATATGTGATCCGAGCACGCGTCCTTGTACTACAGCACTTCGAGAAAGTACAAAACATTACCACGAGACAGTCCTCGCTCTCTCCTGGTAATGTTTTGTCTCGTACGTTTGAACTGCGTCAGGAAATGTATATTTTATTAAAGAGGACGATACAAGTAAGCCTAAAATTTTGTGATTGAAGATTTTTGGTAAAACTAGCGTACTTACGTGATATTATTGAAAAGCCAAATGCTCGGAATCTCTCTCTGCAGGTAAGCGACACGCACCTTTTAACGTCGATTGAAAAAATTTTGGCTTTTCTAAAAAAATTAAAACTATGGAAAAGAAAAATAAACGAAGACGGAGGAAAGAATGTTTCTCCTTGTTGCAACAGTGTACGACTTTCAATGGAGTTGTTTCTCTCGAGGTATGAACTCTATTTTCGAAGAAAATTTATCACAGCTTATCGCCTGGTTTGAGAAATATTTTCAAAATGTCGATAAATTTGTTATATATTTTCAAAATATCGATAAATTTGCACGAATTCAACATCCATTTAATGCCGGTGCTCCATCCGAATTTACTACTGCGGAAGAAGAGAATCTTATTGAGTTGTCTCCGGACAATACGTTGAAAACAAAATTTAGCAGCATGGAATTAACTGAATTTTGGATATCAGTAAAAGACGAATAACCCTTCAGAATGGTAAAGCTCAGAGAATTTTAATTCCATATGCGACTTCTTATTTGTGCGTAGCTGAGTCTGTGATAGAAAATAAGCATTGCACGAAAATTAATGTGCAGAAGTTAATAAAAGTGGCTGTGTCCAGTTTGATTCCAAGATTTAAGAAATTGTGCGGTGATCAACAGGTTCATCCATCCTACCAATTATAATTAATTGAATTTGTTGAATTATATATTTTTGTTATCTTAAATACAGCAGACCCCCCTATAACGCTTAGATACGTTCCACGCTAATCGAATTTTACGTTGTAGGAATGATTAAATACATGAGCCAATCGCAGCCCGATAGGTGTGAACTTTATGGACTAAGGCTGTTTGAAAGGTTTTCTTCTATAAAATTAACCGATTCTAGACTAATTCTACTCAACATTTCCAAAACACGTATNAACCTTGTTAATGAAATAACTGCAGCACAGTGAGAGTTTAGTAGTTATCTGGTCATAGAAAGACAGATATTCCAATGATCCGAAAAAAAGCTTTATGTGATGTCATAAGTATCCTGTGCATTTATTACTTAAAAATGATTGCTAAATAGATAAATGTACAGGATACTTATGATATCACATAAAGCTTTTTTTTCGGATAATTGGAATATCTGTCTTTCTATGACTGGATAACTACTGAACTCTCACGTTCTAAAAATCTACAAGGCAAATAATTTATTTTTTTAATAAAGAGATTTATTCTGGAAGACTCAAGTGTTGATGTCCATTGCTCACTTGGATAGAGCATGGGAGAGCTGGGGTAACTTTTAGATTATTGCAAGTAATATAGTAATGCTTAGAGATTCTTTTAGATATTCTCCTATAAGCAGAAACAGTGTAATAAAAGCTGAAACTGTCTTTGATAGACTTGATAAAATAAAGTGCATTGTTACTGTTTTTGATCTTATCCTTGTCTAATTTTAATATTTGCATAACCACAAAATATCTCTCAAAACNTATCCGAACTGTTCATTAACCTATTATTGATTTGCCATAGGTTTTTATGGAAATTTGATTAAATTGTTCTGGAGACCCCAAAAAATAAAAAATATATACTTACTACATTCATTTATATGTAATAATAAAAATACATATGCACACAGTCTTGCATTTTTATTATTCATGTTTTTTCTGTTTGTGGGGGTTAAAGAATCTGTCTAATGTCGATTGCTTTTCTCTCTTCTTCAGCATTTTTCAGAAATAATTAATAGCATTTTCGTTGTAGAGATCCCTAAGCCTATTAACCCCAACCTGGTTTAAATGCCATTCTAAGACCATTGTTCTCCCACTTCTTGAAAAGATCTTTAATAGTAGATATCGGCATTAATCCTCTTTTTCAGAACAAAACATATCTTGCAAAGTTTCTTGCTGTTCTTCATTCAAGTGTTCTCAATGTTCTTCTGTCAGATCAGTTTCAGGTTCTATTATGAGCTCTTCAATATTCTTTATTTTTCAGATATGATTTTTGTTACTCCTTAAGCTGCTTGAATCTTCTTGATTATACAGTATCTTTCTTAGATAAGTGGCCTACTGTAAATCTACTGCCCAGCAACATCAGACATCTTCTGCCCACTCTGCTATTATACTCTCACCTTCTGGAAATAAAACTGATGCAAAACTTAACAAGTGCCCGCCCAACAGTCTCACCAA